AGATATTTTAAAATATATGATTCCAATTTGGCTTCAAAAAAAAATTTTAAATCTAGATTTTCCTACTATATATATACGTATTTCAGGAGATGGACGGAATGTAGGACGAAAAGTCAATCATGTTATGTTTACTTTTTGCATTTTAAATGATTTAAAGAATGTTTATAATCCTGAAAATCATTATACTTTAGTTCTTTATCCCGGTATTGAAAATTATGAAATTTTAGAAACAGCACTAGCATTATTAACTAAAGATCTTGAGGAAATAAAAAATGAATTTTATGATAATGAAAATAGAAAATGGGAAATTAAATTGTTCTTTTCTGCTGATTGGAAAATGCTTGCTTTGTGTCTTGGTCATAAAGCAGCAAATTCGGACTATTTCTGTCTTTGGTACAACTGTTGCAAAAAATTGAATGGAAATTTTAAATATGATTGGACGATAAATAAAAATATAGATGATATTGCTCAGCATTTTACTAAAATGAATAGTCATGCAAAAAAAACTCTTTTTCTGATAATAGCAATTGATCATTGGATAGTAGATGAACTTCATTTATTATTACGTATTACTGATTGGTTGTGGAACTTAGTAATAACAGAACTCAAAACAACTAAGCAGTTTGATTCTAAGCAAAAAATTATTATAGATGAAATGAAGCGAATTAATGTTAAATTTGAATTTTGGCAAGAAAATAGATCAAATAATTGGAATTATACATCCCTAATAGGAGCCGATAAACTTAAAGTACTTCACAATTTTAATATTGCTGTAATTTTTTCAAAAGACCGAGCACAAATAATTCAACAATTATAGAATAGTTTCGCACAATTATATGATGCACTAAAAGATCCTCAAATTACTGGTACCGAGTTTAAACAAAAAGCTATTAATTGGCTAAATTTATTTTTAACTAAATCTACAGGAAGTTTTAACTCTCCTACTTTTATTAAAGGCTTATACCGTCCAAATGACATAACGCCTTACATTCATATAATGGTTTATCATGTGGGAGAATTTAAAGACTTGCATCAAAAATTTGGAATGACTGGATTTTCTTGTTCTGCCATAAAAAAGAAAAACCATCAGCAAGTTTCATATTTCTTTTAAAAAACTTTAAAAGATGGAGGATTGAAAGGAGTTAAAAAGTCAGCAATTTTAGAAATATTAGATTTTAATAATAGAAATCTTTATTTTTGTAAGAATAATGTGTTGATTTATTTTGAAAAGGAGACCAAGCTAATTATCAAACAATAGATATATGCTTTTCATTTAAGGTAAGCGACTATATTATTTAATATATAATGGTTGTTTAATTATAACTAAATTTTATTTCTAACAAGAAAATTCTTATTACATTTTTGAAAGAACATTATCAGATTATAAAATATCATTTACAAAGATAGAAATCAAATATATAATAGGAAACTATGCGAATACTATTTTAAATTTATATTTTAGTATAAACGTTTTCTATTACTTACAGTATTGAAACTTTATTTTATATTTAATAAAGTTTTTAGATCTATTTGCATATATATCTATGATACGAAGAAAATTCTGAGATAATACTTGTAAATTTACTATATTAATGTAAAAGAAAAAAGTTTTTAATTTTTGGTTTAGATGAAAGAATAATTAATATTCAAACTAGCACTTTATTATCTTATCTGACTTGAAAGTAAGTATTTACTTGACATAATTATTATTTTTTTTATAATGTATCAAATTGCCTTACATATATTTTTTGTTTAGATTCACTACTTTCTTTCTATGTTAAAAAGAGTAGATAACAAACTAACGAGTTTATAGTACCCTCATTTTGTATTTGAATTAAAGTTTACTAATACTAGTTATGCCGAATACATATCAACAATATTGATCATATCATTTAATTTCATGTAATAGATATTCTCTATATATGATTTTGAATTTAATTACGATAGTTTTGCTTGAT